AGAGGGGAGGGTAAGGTAAGAGGTGTAGATGAGGAGGATAGGGGAGGACCCTCTATACCCCCTCACTCTCCTCATCCCCTCTCCTCCTCCATTCCCCTCCCCTTCCTCTCCTCTTCCCCCAACGTTTAATCATAATTTATTAAATTCCACGTTTTATTGATAATTTTACTAAATGGCATTTTAAATTAAAATAAGGAGGAGGAGAGGAAAGGGAGGGGATTAGGAGAGGGGAGGAGGAGAGAGGTTGAAGAGAGGTGGAGTGGTATTGAGAAATTTTAATGAGTTAAATTTTGAAATTTTTTTTTTGTTATTTTTTAAATAATATTTTTAAGAAAAAATTTTTATTTATAAGGAATATTTTTTATTTAATTTATTCGTGACCGGACAATCCGTCAGTGGCCGGACAATCGGACAGTGGACAATCCGTCAGTGAACAAATTCATAATTCCCACCCATATCCAAAATACCGCGGCCAAAAATTTTTAGGTTATAAAAGATAACGAAAATATGGAAATTAATGAGGAAAACGGCAGATTTAACTGGATTAAAAGAATATCAGTGGATTTGGTAGTCATTGGGGACTTTCAAGATATTGTGGGATTAAGGGGAGTATAACAGATTTGTAGTATTATGGTGGTTATCGAGGAAATTGGGAGATTAAGATGGATTTTGTGGATTAAGAATGATATCAAGGAATATAGGCGGATTAAGATGATTTGGAGGTTGTTCCATGATATCCATCCCCAATGACTACCAAATCCACTGATATTCTTTTAATCCAGCTAAATCTGCCATTTTCCTCATTAATTTCCATATTTTCGTTAACTTTTATAACTAGGGCTAGGATTTTTAGGCACTAAAAAGTCAAAAATAGGCGCCTATATAGGCACTAAAAAACTGACAAAATAGGCACCTAATTCCGAAAAAAAGGCAAAATAGGCAAGAAAAATACATATACATAATTTCTTAAAATTTGAAGCTTGATCTGCAAAAATATCGACTAAAATCTATAAAAATGGTTGAATTTAATCAATAAACTGTTATATAAATTAATTTTGACGATAAGAATTGCAAATTTAAATTAATTTATATTAATTATTTTGCTTCCGAAAATATTTTGAATAAATTTTTAAGAATAAATTTTTAAGATAAAAATTTTTTGACAAAAAAATTTTTTCAAAAAAATTTTTTTTGAAAAATAAATTTTATCAAAACTAATTTTTAGTCAGCAAATTTATTAAAAAATGCCCAAAAATTCGCAAATTTTTGTAAAAATATGCAAAATAGGCTGAAAAAAGGCAAAATAGGCAATTTTAGGCAACGATAAAATTAGTTAGGAAGATTTCAGTAAAATAACACCTGATTTGGACGTTTCAGAATCAGGCCTATTTAGGAAAAAAACAGGCATTTTGCCTAAAATCCTAGCCCTATTTATAACCTAAAAATTTTTGGCCGCGTTATTTTGGATATGGGTGGGAATTATGAATTTGTTCACTGACGGATTGTCCGCTGACCGATTGTCCGACCACTGACGCATTGTCCGCTGACCGATTGTCCGACCACTGACGGATTGTCCGGTCACGAATAAATTAAATAAAAAATATTCCTTATAAATAAAAATTTTTTCTTAAAAATATTATTTAAAAAATAGTAAAAAAAATTTCAAAATTTAACTCATTAAAGTTTCTTTATACGACTCCCCCTCTCCTCCTCCCCTCTCCTAATCCCCTCTCATTCCCTTCCCCTCCCTTTCCTCTCCTCCTCCTTATTTTAATTTAAAATGCCATTTAGTAAAATTATCAATAAAACGTGGAATTTAATAAATTTTGATTAAACGTTGGGGGAGGAGAAGAGAGGTCTCTCTAAGAGAAAGTCTCATTTTAAATTGAAATAAGGAGGAGGAGAAAAAAGGAGGAGAGGGGAGGGTAAGGTAAGAGGTGTAGATGAGGAGGAGAGGGGAGGACTACTCTATACCCCCTCACTCTCCTCATCCCCTCTCCTCACTCTCCTCACCCCTTCCCTTCCCCTTCCCTTCCTCTCCTCCTCCCCCCAACGTTTAATCAAAATTTATTAAATTCCACGTTTTATTGATAATTTCACTAAATGGCATTTTAAATTAAAATAAGGAGGAGGAGAGGGAAGGGAGGGAAGGGAATGAGGAGGAGAGGGGAGGAGGAGAGGGGTTGAAGAGAGGTGGAGTGGTAATGAGAAATTTTAATGAGTTAAATTTTGAAATTTTTTTTATTATTTTTTAAATAATATTTTTAAGTAAAAATTTTTATTTATAAGGAATATTTTTTATTTAATGTATTTGCCCTTTTCCATAATTATGAATATAACTTTTAGGATACAACTATGTTCTGTCACAGGGAATTGAAAAAACTTATTAGAGTAGATTTAGAGGATAAGGAAGGGCTGAAGAGATGCCTGGTGATTAAGAGTGATATCAGTTGTTTTAGAGATTTGAGGATTTGAATATATATCGGAGGATTGAGGTGGAACAGGCCCATCATTGAAACAGGCCCCTTTATAAAAATTACAATTTCTGCAAGTTTTTCTGATATCCAAATCCAATTGAAAATTTTCGGATATCCGTGACCGGACCGTATTTTTTTGAAATAAGCAGTGTCTGAATATTTTGCCTTGACGAATTAGAAATTAAACCACGCAGAAATTTTGTTATTTTCAGCGCCGCAGGCTAAAATTTTGAAAATTTTGGAAGATTAAGCCAAAAACCTTCCTTTTTCTGGAAGGTTTTTTTACGCTCCCCTTTTTTATGTTATATTTTTTTCAATTTCTATGAATTTTTATATACATTCGAAAATCTTCAATTTAAATTTTTCTATTTCTGTTTAGAGAATGTGGTTATTCTTTTTCTTCATTTTCTTCAATTCCTTTTTTAATTTTGTTAGTCCCTATTCGATTTTTGTAAAGATTTCTTGGCGAGAAAATGGTGAAAATAACGAAAATTATTACAACCGTTTGGCAAATGAAGCTGATGAACGATTCAAATTGGAATTGACTGGAGATCACCTCGACAATCCAATTATTGGATTGACTGATATAAACGATTCATTTCACTTTGTTGATTTAAATGAAGGCTCTTATAGATTGCAGATAACAATTTGCGGGCTTATTAATGTAGGTGTAAGGAATGTCTCCCTTCCTTACTTTAGGGAAGGGAGATGAATGGATCCTTTTCAAATAGAAGCTTAAGTTTAAAAAATATTCTTTCAGTTGGACATTGGCACCATTAATGAAATAGAAAATGATTCAATAATTTACATCATTCCTCGCAAGGACAATACAAAATATATTAAATACATAAAAGTTGAAGAAGAGGAAAATTTTATTGAAAACATGATTTATTTGTTTAATAATCTTCGAGTTTTTGTTTTTGTCTGGCCCAGTCCTATGGAATCTAATCAAAAAGTTAATTTGAAGATTGGATGCAAAGACATGTATAATTCAAATTTTGTAGCCAATTTTAAGAATTATTCTTGATTCTACTTGGGATTGGACGGATATTAGGAGATCCTATGACTTTTCCAAGGTTCTTGATCTAACTCAAGACTTTTATTGGGTGTTTTTGGTCTTTCAGTTATGCGGCACTAAAAATGGAAGAATTGTGCAAATTGACCTTCCGAGGTTCTCATAAGATTGTTTGAATATCCTTTCTTATCACCTTAGTCCATCATATTCCCTCGATATCCCTACAAAACACTGATATGATTAAAGAAAAATTTCGGTAGATTAAGGGAGATTTCCGTGGATTAAGAGTAATTTTGTGGGATAGCCGAAGGTTTGTTGGGATATTTAAGATATCTAAGGATCATGACGGATATATCGATATCCGGGGTAATCAACTATTTGTATAATCAATAGAAGATTAAGTGGATAAAATGGATTTCAAGGGATCAAGACGGATATTTGGTAGAGATGGATATCAAAACGGATACTAAATGCCAAGATTTTATTCCCCCTTAATCCAAAAATCCCTTGATATCCCTTCAGTTATCACAAATCCACATTATCCGGCTACACACTCAGTCTTCCAATATCCCCATTAATTCCTTAAAATTCAGTATCCCTCGCTAGAATCCGTTTATATCTCACTTGATCATTCGATAACAAATACAAGCCCTTGAATTCAATTTGATTCGTCCATATCCACCAATATCCCAGTTAATCTATCTTAATCTCCTTAAACTATTTGGTCTATTCTGTTATTCATTGGTTATAAAAATTATGTAAATGATGAGGAGGGAAGTGGACAATACAAATCAACAAATTATGTAAAAACATTTATTTGTCCAGATGATGAATACACTCTTATGGTTGAGCACAAGGTTAAGAAATGTTTAAAAACTTTCCAGTTTATAACAATTTGTTCAATCTATCGAAAAATTTAGGTAGAACTAACGGAAACAAGAAGTCACACAACAGCAATCAAATATAATGGGTACATTTTTGGTTATAAACGAGAACTTTCAACAGGATTATCAGCATGCCCTTGTTCAAAATATACAACGGATACCAAATGTAGAGCGATAATTCATGCCGATGCTAACAACAACATATCGGACGAATATCTAACTGTCGAGCACAACCATCCTCCTCAATATATCAAAAAATTTCTAATTGTTAGAATTATTTGAATTAATAGATTATAAAATTCCAGTTCCTTGATCTTAGTTCAGAGCTTTTATTCTAGAAAAGACTTTGTTGATAATTAAAATTTGTATTTTAGGTAGGGTTATTTGTTTCAACAAATTCTTCGGTTAACCGGAAACCCGAACAGAACTAGCTAAATCCCCTACCAAATACCCCACCAATTTTATGATATCCCCTTTGATCTCCAAATTTATTCAATTATTCTTAATACCATCAGATATATTTATTGGATAATTATCAACAAGATTTGTAATTTAAATAATTTAATAAATTTTTACTATATAAAGAAAGAAATCAAATGTCCACCAGCAATCCATTCAAACAATATGGTAAATGCTTACAGAATTGATTTTGACAATCCGCCGACTGAACATAATTGTGAATTAATCAATGATGAACAAACACCTGTTGACAATTATGTATATTTCTTGGATAATTATCAACAAGAGGTTGACCAGCGAATGAAAGAAATTTTTGATGAAGAAAATGCAGTAGATATTCCTCAAGGTATTGATGATATTATAGCATTAAAATATTTATATTTTTAGATTGGATTACCGTACGAGGCCCGAAACCCAATAGACGAAATAAAAAGGCATCTTCGTCACATCCTCAGAAATTTACGGTTTATTCAAGTGAAGATTCGGGAAATCATTGTGAGAAATTTTGATAAAGAATTTTAAAAAATTCTTATTTTTTCTAATTTTATTGCAGAAAACATGGAAATGATGGGTTCTATTTCAACAAAAATATAGATGAAATTGAAGAAAAAAATTAGAAAAATTTTCTTTCATTTTTGAAAGGGAAGAAAAGGGATTATTTAAAAGGGATTTAAAATTTTTAAAAGTTATTTTAGTATTTGGGTCTATTTGGTTTTAAATTTTTAAGGTTCATGGGCTTTAAAATTAGTTCAATCTTGGGCTATATTTAAAAATTTACGTTAACTAATTTTATTTTTATCAATATATATTTTTAGCTAGATAAAGATTTATTTATATTTTCTCATACGTTTTATATTAATATAAGTTAATAGTTAATTAACGCAAAAACCGCAAAAAATATTTACAATTTTTTATGGATCCTTTATCTTATCACAAAATATACATATAATTAATACGGTTTTTGTATTTTTTGTTATATATGTGAATGCTTACATATCAGCCTCTTTATCAAACGGTTTAAAATCCTCATCACATCTAGAAAAATAATAATTTAATTATTTACCAGGTGTTCAAAATTCCTTTAACACACCACTTATATTCTATATTTTTATATTTTCGCAAGATCATTTTCTTATTGGGATGGACTGTCAATTTAAATATCGGGCATTTTTTCGAAACTTCTCAGTTCGGATTTTAGGTTTGGATAGTTTAAAAGACCGAGTTTCATTACTCACATTGGATAAAGCTTATACACTTCGCTAAACCGTGCGGCAATAGAGGAAATGTGGCATTTATAGTCGTTCGTATAGTCCTTGTTATCCTGGCACCACGATTGTTTAGGAGGGCAAGGATAGAGTTTAATTTTGTTGTCATCTAAGACTGCGCGTTTTAAGCACCAGCAGTTATTTATGACAAAAGTCATGAATATACGATGCAACGTATTTCGCATCCTATAATTGAAAATTTATTTACATAATTTAACTCAAATGTGATTTCATCAAATGTATTTTTAACTCAACTAGCTCATCTAATAACTTTAATATTCTATTTATTACTCTACTCTTTTGAGAGCTTCTCTCACAAAAATTTGTGATAATTTAAAATTTTGACAGTGAGTCAGATTTAAATAATTTCCTGAATAGCTTCTACTTGATAATCTAAGGTTTTTCTGATAAATACAGTCCTACCTTAGGTAATTATTTCGGGATAAGATCTGATATTGGTATTAAAATAAAGGATTTATATCGAAATTAAATTCCATATATGAGAAGCTGTCGTTAATAGGGTACAATTAAATTATTTTTTAAACCAGTTACAAGTATTTTCCCGGTTCCTGGAATCAGGAACATTATCCAAAATAATGAATCGGAAGAAGTTAGATTTCAGAAAAGGGAGAGCACTGGACCATTAAAAGTATCAGAGGTTCGGAACAGCCTGATATGACAGAGAGGATTCATATCATAAATCGGAACTATATTTATATATCATATATCATAAATCGGAACTATATTTATATATTTATATTTAATGAATGAATCACTTATTTTAATCAAAATAATTTATTTTTAATAAAAATATTTTATTTGTATATGTACATAGGTGATTATTAAATAATTCCCTATTAGCTGAACTAGCATATAGATTTTGTTTAGAAAATAAAATCCAAAAAATCAAATATTGGGAAATTCTTTTTTATATTTCTCAATGTTTTAGTCATAGATTTTATTTGAAATATTTACACAAAATTGTTATGCAAATAACACATAAACAAAAAATTTAAAATTTATTTTAATACTCTCATTTTATTATAGTTTTTAGAAGGGTTATTTTTATAAGCGTTAAAAATTTTGATGTTAAAATTAGAAATCGTTGGCTTTCTTCGGGAAAAACCCCTTATAAAAATGTGTGAGTTAAAAGTAATTTTAATTTTTTGTATATGGCTTATTTACATAACAAAATTGATGTAAAAATTTCAAATAAATTCGATAAATGAAATAATCAGAAATATAAAAAATCTAGGAGGGCTTATAATTTCTTAACACACTATACATTTATGGAGAAAATATCGTTTTCTTTGCAACTTGTTTTCTTGCAAGTTGTTTTGCATATTCAATTTTTTTGAAAATGAAATTATTTATTTCTTTCATATCATTTGTAATATTCTTTTTAAATCTTTTCAGCTCAAAATTTTCTTCCTTTGCCAGAAGGTCAACACCGCAGAAGTTCAAACTCCAGAAGGTCAATACTCTAGAGGTTAACTGAACCACAAGTCAACTCCCTTCTGTTCAACAGACCCAGAAGGTCATTAATTTTTGGCAGTTTTTCTCATTAATTCGCCAATTTATTTAAATTTTTATGGCCATATTTCGCGCTTTAATTTTATTAAAAATCCGGCCTCTAATGATCTCTATCCGACTGTCTATTTCTTCTTTTGACAAAGTTGCCATTTTTGCGTATTTTTTCTCCACTTTAAACCTTAAAAAAGAACCTTTTAAAAAACAAATTTAAAAACCAAATAATAAATGTGAGAACTGTTGGCATTGCAAGTAAAATAAAGCCAAAGAAACACTAATTTTTTAGGCAAATCGTCGTTCCTTCAATCGATAAATATTACCTTGAAAATTAAAAATAAATTTATTTTTAAATTTCTAACCACCTCCTAGAGCTGTTGAATAACTAATAATTGCTTGTTTGGCAATTTGATGGATAATAAGTAACCATTGCAGAAGTATAATTAAAAATACCAAAAGTTCTTGGGAGCACAATAACGGAATGAGTAACTGAAAAATTAAAAATTGGTTTATAATACCGTATTATATTCTTAAAGCAAAAAACTTTTTAATGAACGAAAGATAAATGAACAAAAATATGATCGACAACTAGGTCAACGTATAAAATGCTGCTCGTCTTTCATAATCCTTCAATCGATATTACTTATCCTTTTTCAAAAGAGAAACTAAATTCAAAAGAACTACTATTGTATCTAAATGTCAGGAGGATGTCTTTTAATTATTTCAAATGACTGCGGATACCAAACGGTGTTTTGCCACACATCCACACTATTGTATCTAAAAGTCCAAGACTTTAATACAACAAAACAAGTCTGGAATATTGACTGTCGCTAAATTCTTTTGATTATTTCAAATGACTGATTGATTAAAATATTAGACAGACATTTAATCAAGTGGCAAGCACTTTAAGAAATCAAGAGATTTTATCAGCCATAATTAGCGGCGTTGCCTTTGTTGTGAAATTTTATTTTTATTTTAAAATTTTGTTTATTTTCCTTAAAAGTCGGGTGATGAAAGAAGCGCGCCTATTACTCAATAAATGCACTTGCCCAACTATTCGACTATTCAATAAAATTAAATCTATTTACATGACTTTCTCTATATCCTCCTCATAAAACAAAATTTAATAAATAAACATTCAAATGGGTCTTAATAAAAATTTATTTTTTAATTATTTATTATTTATCATTTTATTTGGCTACCCGACTTTTATTAAGAAATTAAGTTTAAAAATAAGCTAGTGCCGTTGTCTTTTATTAAGAAACTATTAATACAAATTTATTCATTGTTTGTTTATAAAGCGCGATTATTTAGGAAATATAGAAAGACCTTAGCAAAAGTTTAGCCGCCGGGTAGGATTCAAACCTACAACCTCAAGACAGCTATTGCTAGGCGCTTTCTCTCCCCGCATACAGGAGCTCTAGCACTGAGCTACAGCGGCAACGACTAATGCTTCTCTTTTATCCTTTTAGATCGTTTAACCCCCCGCCTGAATGTTTTAACTGCTCTAGTTGAATCATCCTTACATTATTAGGTCGGCACTAAATTTTAACTCAAATCTGGAACTGCTTCCATTGTCCCCTTGCCAAAATAACCTTTTTTATATCAATATCTTAATATTCAAAATTTAGAGAATGAAAGTTTACAAAACTTTTTTCTTTTTAACTATTGTATTTTCAATTGCTGTGTGTACAAACAAACAGGAAGGAGAACCATCCTCTTCCAAAAATGACGGAAAGGAACAAGTTGAAAAAAGAGGAAAGACTCCGAAAGATAAAAGACCACGTTTTGGTAATTAATAAATATATTTTTATTCTATTGTCAAAATTTTCTGTTGAGAATATTGTCAGTTTTTGAAAATTTAGAGAAGTGGTGGTCCCGAAAAAAACCATCAATTATCTATGTTATTTAAGTCAGATCTGATTGGAATTTTTATAAGAAACTTTTTCTAGCCTTAAAAACATTATTACCTAAATATATTTCAATATTAAGAAACAGTTGGAAATAATATTAGATAACGTCCAAATAACCTCGAACATTGTTCATCCCTCTCCCTCTCCCCCCCCCCCCCAATAAAAAGGAAATGTTTGTTCATATGGTGTTAAAAAGAGCGCGTATGTGTACATTTGCTCATAAAATCCACAAAATATCAATATATTTTTTAAAATTATCATTGTTTTCCGGCTAATATCTTTTTATAAATCCGTAATATTGGGCTAAAGATGTTATTTTAAATTGAATTTATCTTTAATTCGCCTGAGTATCGCATTACTTGCGACACCAAATATAACGATAAAAGACTCATATTCAAATAAGCTTAGCATAATACCCGGCGATTTCATTGTTTTTAACTTAACAAATTTATTTTTTTAATCTCTCAGATGAACTTTTCAAACTTATTTCTGAAAGTTTTGAATTAGTAGAGAAAGAAGTTAAATACGATAAAAGGTTTTCTGACGATGAAAATGAGAAAGTTGAGCATTTCATTAAAATAAACAAAGATTCCGAAGACAGTTTTGAAGAGAAATTTATTATTCTTTTATTTGAGGAAATTTTTAAAGCCAGAAATATTTATAAGGAGGAAATTATTAGACAAAAACATTTGCACTCCGATATAACAAAGGAAAGAAAAACTTTAAAAATCAGTGAAGGCTTGGACAGTAGTGAAGGTAATTTACAGATTAAATTAGCTAGACTTATTCTCCAGGTTAGACGGTTTATCCTTTTTAAGTCCTAGGCCGTTAACTACATTTTCGGACAAACATTTGATAGTATATGAGCATATCTTTTTATTAAATAAACGTAAAATGACCTTTTTTATTAAAATAATTAAGCTTAAGAATAGGACCATTTTAAAACAATGAACATCAGAATCAGTTTAATTTTTAGAACGTTATGGCCACTAATATATTTCTTATCAAATTCCTTAATAATTGGCCCACAACTTGATTTCATTTCCATAATTTTATTAAACTTTATATGTTTTATGGATAATTATTAGAGTGTTTTTATGAAATTAACTCTAACTTTTTATGTTCATTAACCCGACTTTGTGATTAATTAATCCTTAAATATGACTCGTTCTCAAACGTTTAGTCCTCCCTAAGATCCCTAGATAAATAATTTTATCTGAATTATTTAAAAAAACATTTTTTTCTTATTAAAGAAAATATTGAGAATTATTTAAATTCTGAAATTTACAAATTAGATGAAAAAATTTATTTAAAATTAAACAATCTTGTGTCTTATTCAAGACAAGATTGTCTGGAATTTAAAGAGAAATATAATGAAACTGAAATGAAAAAATCAAAGGAAAAGTGTGAAAATGAGAGAAAAATTTGTGTTAACGAGTTTGATAGAATAATTGCTTTAAATATGGCTTTAAATCCTTTGTGTAGATTTAAAAGTTATTGGGTAAATTTTTAAATTTGAGTTCTTAGAAGAGAGTTATGACTAGGGTAGGGGTTTTAGAGTCGAGCCAACGTTCGAGTCATTTTTCGGGCCTCGTTTTTATCGGAACAGACCGAACAACTCTTTTTCGGGCCAAAATTCGATGCTCGACTTTATCTTTCGGACCGGACCGGACCCACAACCATAGTTATGACTTAATGAAGAACAATAACCCATCGTCTAGGAGTTCTTTTCTCTAATGCTTATAACAAGATTTGATAATTTGGGCAATAATCGGAATCTCTTAAAAGTATGGGATTACTAGCTTCTCCAAGAGAATCTCGGATTTAATTTCGGGGCAGTAACAGGAAAATGCATTGGAACTGAATCGAGCCGAAGATCCATATAAAATGGCATGAGTCAAATAAACATTTATTTTCATATAAAATTTAGAATCCACAAGACAATGAAAGGAAAAAATATTTGGAAAGTGTTGGAACTTGGACTGAACAAGGAAAGAAAAGCAAAAACGAAAAACAATTATTTGAATTTAACGAAAAAGAGGTTGATGCTATTTATTTTGATGATGCCAATTTAATTGATGTTGAAATTGATAAAGAAATAAAGCCAATTGAGAAGGTGTGATTAAAAATAAATTTTGATAAATTCCATTGTTTTTGACTACAAAAAAGTTGCTTGACTTTTATCCTAATGCGAAGTTAAAAGTTAATCTCAGCTTAGGAGGAAGCTGGTTACACAGATCAAGTTTTAGGGTCTTCCAATTTGTTTTTACAGTCCAATACTTAAAGAGAAAAGGACTAACTATAGACCAGATAGAAATAAACAATCTTAGCAACGTCTTGAGTCAAGACTTAAGACCATAGCCACTCTTGTTTAAGATGTTCAGAATAGCAAAAAAACCATACTTCCTTGATTTTTCGGAGTTAATGGTTTTAAGTTTAGGGAAAGGTCGGAGTTTGGGTCAGTGTTAGACTAAATCTGTTTGCAAACATTAATTACTAAAGCAAAAGTTTTTGTGATTATAAAAATGTATATACTACTAATTTTTTCTCAGTTTTCTGATCCAAAGTTGAAGTTAGATCCATGGCTAAAAGAAAACATGGATTTGTGCAATTTTAAACGGCCAACACCCATTCAAGTATTTTTAAATAAATTAATAAAAAAATTATTCAAATTTAGAAATATGTTTTGCCTGCTTTAATAAGAGGAAACAAAAGTTTTGATTTAATAGGTGTAGCTGAGACAGGATCAGGAAAGTTTGCAATATATAAAAATTTTTAAATCATTAAGCCTACCATCACTTTATCTAATAAATATAGTGTCAAAAGTATTAGGGTCTTTCCTATCTTTTGGCTTAGCATTGTCACGTTGTAGTTAAGGAGTCTCCAATGATATAATGTTAAGATACAGTATTTCCTCTAATTGAATGTCCCAGAGTTCTATCAAATACCAACAGTACATCCTATTAAAATCTATTCGAAGAAACACGGTTTTTTCTCAAAACAGGACAGCAGCATTTCTCATTCCTTTGATAAATCACCTCTTGAAAGTTGGAAAAGAAAATGGAGGCTTAAATTATGTACGTAAATATAAAGTGATACCCCTTTTAGAACATTCCGCTTTTCGACTTTTTAATATTTTTGGGCCTCGGTAATTTTTTTGAATTCAACGGGGCATCACTTTATATTGTATTTTATTAGTTCAAAAATTTCTATAGGTAGAAACAGGAGAACATAATAAACTTCATTATACTCCAAGTGCTCTAATACTTTCGCCCACAATTGAACTTACGATTCAATTATACAAAGAAGTGTTAAAATTAACATACCGTACACCTATTGTGCCAGCCTATGTACATGGAGGAAAAGCAAATTATGATGCACAATTTGAAGCTCTTAAAGTAAAATATTTCAGAAAATTCAGAATATTCTGAAAAACCAGAAAATTCTGGAAAAATCAGAATATTCTGAAAAACCAGAAAATTCTGGAAAAATCAGAATATTCTGAAAAACCAGAAAATTCTGGAAAAATCAGAATATTCTGAAAAACCAGAAAATTCTGGAAAAATCAGAATATTCTGAAAAACCAGAAAATTCTGGAAAAATCAGAATATTCTGAAAAACCAGAAAATTCTGAAAAATCAGAAAATTCAGAATATTTTGATAAATCAGAACATTCTGAAAATCCAGAATATTTTGAAAGACCAGAAATTCTGAAAAACCAGAAAAACTCTGATAAAATACTCTCAATTCCTTTCAGGATGGTTGCCATATTCTTATCGCGGCACCTTTGCGATTACTTGAAATGATGGTAAATAAAGATATTAGTATGACAAAATGTAATTTCCTTGTCATTGATGAGATTGATCAAATGCTTGGTGATTTAATTATAAAAAACTTTATTAATTTTAAAAATTAAAGATAATGGATTTATTCCTCAAATAAAGAAAATTGAAGGAAAATTGCCTGATAAGATACAAAGAACAACTGGTAGGAATATTTTGATTGTTAGGTCTTTAAGTAATAAAGCTTAATGGTTCAAAACCAAAATTTTAATTTAAACCGAATTGATCGGCGCCGAACAGATCTGACTATCTAATCCCGATTTCCCCATAATCTTCAACCTTCTAGTTAACCCGAAAAAAAATTTTTCGTAATTAAATATAGTAAAAGTAAGGAATAAGAAACGTTCCTTTTCAAAAATATTTTATTTTTTGTCATTTCCGGACACACTGTATTTAAAAGTTGTTTTCAGCTATGTTTACTGCAACATTTGAAGAAAAATTTAAACAATTGGCTAGTTCATTTCTTCGTGATAATTATGTAAATATTTTTGTAAATTTTAAAATTATCTACACAAGTCTTTAAATCTTTATAATAATATATAAAACTATTTTTAAAACATTTAAAATCCATGTCATAACATGTACCCTCACAATTCTCAACGATCGTGACTTTGCTGTTAGTAAATTATTGCCAATAATACTCGTAGTTTTAGGAAATGACAATATTTTTTTTACTTTTTTATTTAAAGATTAAAGTGAAAATTACTCGAAATATACCTCCATATCTCAAACACCAAGTGCTCTGGGTAGATGATTTTGACAAAGACGATAAGCTGAAGGAATTGTTAAATGAACTTTTAAATGATCAGAAAAATAAAATTATTGTATTTGCAAATACAAAGGACAGATGCAATCGAGTAAATATTTTAATTACCAATAACCTCTAAATAAAACCCAATTAAAAATTATTCGTTTCAAAATTATACTAAAAAGCAGTCAAAACGAGATAAATTATGAGTATCTCTCAATTGAAAGTAAAAGGTGCAGCTGGCCGAAACTCCGGTCTTGAGTCTTGACTTAAGACTTTTCTTGGGTTTTTCCGGTCTTAACTTGGGGTAAAGTCTTGGTCTCGACTTTTTTGGGGTTTTGAAAAATACACCTCTAAAGACCGTGAAATTTCATACTACCATTATGTATTTTCTTAAATGCTTGGTCTAGTTCCTCTTTATCTCAAGCTGTTTCATCCCAAGGAATGAGCTCAAATTAAACTTCTTTATGATTCTTTAAAGCAAAAGCATAAAACTGCAAAAAAATTTTTTAGACATTCTCAGCTCCAAGAAGACAGAATCCCTCCCTTTAACAATCCAACTAAAATAAAAAATTATTTTTAGATTGCAGAATTTCTTGGTAATGAGAATTTCAAAGTTTTATTAGTACATGGAAATCTATCAGCTGTTGAGCGTTTAAAAAACCTTAGAAAATTTGTAGCAGGAAAAGCGATTAAAATTCTGATTGCCTCAGATGTATTGTCGAGAGGAACCGATATTAAGGATATAACGCATGTGATAAATTACGACTCTCCAGAAAGTTTGTTTTTGAAATATGAAAATTATAAAATTATTTTCCAAAGAATTAACAACTTATATCCATCGTGTTGGACGTACAGCAAGAATGGGGAAAAAAGGTAAAAAGAAATGATATTTTATGGGTAAACTGAATTCAGAAATATTGGTCTATAGATTTTGGGATCTATAGCTGGGAAATTGTAAAATAAATTACAAATTTCGGGCGTCGAGAATTCCCAAAAAAATTTTGATTCCTGATTAGGAAATCGAGAAACGTCGGAAAGATTTTCGGAATTGGAAATTGTGAAGTCATGGGTTCTGCCATATAATAACTGTGTCTTGGATAGTAACAACTTAAACTAGCAAAATTTTTAATTTCTCCCGAGTTTATTGAAGCAATTTTCTTTTTTATAATGTGTTTATAAATAGGTATCTGTCCGTAAGCCTAAAATAAATGTTGTTTAAAATTAAATACTAATATGTAGAGACCGGAATGGGGGGGGGGGTGATCGGTATCTCTTAAAATCTCTATGTAATATCGATAATGAGTCTACAAGATCTCGTCTTGTTTCGTCATTTTCTAATATGTATTAAATAAAAAGGAACTGCAATAACATTCTTCAATGAAAATAGCAAGATAATTTTGGAATTGTATGAATATTCAAAGGAAAAATTAATAAATCCTATTGAATTCCCTCCCAAATTTAATGAAAAAGTAAATGAAATAATTGAGGCGATTAAAAAGAAAAATGAGAGAGGATCGCATTTTCGAGAGAAAGCAAAGAAAAAAGAAGAGGTATAAATATTTTTTGTTGAATAAAATTTAATAGAAGTATTAGTTTTTGTTTACGATCGGTTGATCAGAACGAACCTAAGAGTTGCGGTAGCTAAGACTAAATGTACGAATTAATGATGGGTCGTGAAAATACTTTGTGATCTAATTTCCAATGACCAAAGTTGGTACAACCCATAAAACAGTTGATTTTAAGTCCCCAAATAAAGGTTATCTTGGTTAACTAATGAGAGAAAATTAGGGTTGTCGGTTTCAAACCGAACCGAACCGAAAAACCGAAAATTTCGGTTCGGTTTATCGGTTCGGTTTATCGGTTCGGTTTCGGTTAACCGACGAATCTGGTGAAACCGACAACCCTAGAGAGGATCACACCATCTTTCAAAAAACCGTAAAAGTATTGGGAGAACTCGGGGCCCAATCCTACTCTAATTGAAAACAATGGTGAAGTATTATTTATAATCGAGAAATAAGATTATTTTGAGTTATAAAATATCTTTATTTTAAGGAAAAAATTGTTGAAAAAGGGAAAAAATTAAAAAGAAGGATAACGATTTAAATTAAATGATTTTGATTTGAGAAGAAATTCAAGAATGCGAGACAATTGGTTTAAAAAATATCCTTTTTGGACTAAACATTCACAATTTTCTTTTTGTTAGTATACATATACTATTAATGCAGTGCTGCGATTTGTACTTATTTCTGTATTACAAACAGACCTTTGTACTTACAAAATTGAAAATGAACTTATTTGTAGGTACGGAAGTACATAGGACTTTTTAGTTAAAAAATAGAATTTAGGTTTAAAATTCTCAAAATTTGCACCTTTGGCGCAAAATAAAGTAAATTTTCTGGCGCCTTAGGTGCCAGCAAATAATTGAAAAAATTTTTTATAAAGTACTTGTAATTTGAAAATTTTCCACCTATGTACTTATGAATCAAACTTTTTGTACTCACATCTAAGTTTCCCTACACAGCCTGTATTAATGAATCAGCTATATTATTTTTAGCATTTTTCATTTCTAAATTTGTATAAATTTTACTCTCTTAAATATTTTATCAAATTAAAGCATTATTTATTCTAAGAATTAGCGTACAATAATTTTTTAAATAATCAGAAGCGGATTATGAATAGAAGCAAATATTAACTAGCGTTATTTTTCTTTCTAAAAGTCGATGCATAATTTGATTAGTAATTAATTGAATTTAAACTTTGCATAGAGAATTTAAATTTAACCGCCTCCTGGAGTGCAAGGCTTTATTACATCCGCTCCCGGATTGTGTATTGGGTCGCAACCATTACACGAAACTAAATTGAGAAAAATAAGTTAAAAATGCCGATAATTAAGTTTTAATCCCTTTAGGGGAAAATCAAGAAAGGGTTAGTTACTGTTCCCACAATCTTATCCTCTGAATGAGTAGCCACAAAATGTAAAAAAAAATTTTTAATTTCTTCCCTCCCATATAATGTTCATGCTGTGGATGGGAGATGGAATGACCCATCACGGAAAGCGCCCAAATCGAAGCACAACCGACTGCACCACCATCCAACCCGATAATACTTTATTTATTTTCATTTATGTTCTTTCTGCAAGTGCGGACACAGCATCCCATAAATTAAATTAAACTCACTTCCGAGTACAGGGGCATTCAAAGTTCTGCTGTTGCCAACTACAAACGATGGGCTTGCAGTAAATTTATAAGAGGCACCAGTCATACTATTAGCTATATTGCTTGATCCAGAGTTGATAACCAAAAATGTAGAACTAGCTTAAAATTATATTTTATTTAATAATTTTATATTTTCGCCCAAAAAACCGTTAGCATAAATTGAATAATCTGCCAAAAGTGCAGTGTTGGTAACTGTATAGCAACCTTTTTGAACATTAGAAGCACAAACACAGAATTGTGAAGGATCAGTACAGTTAATTCTAGCGACGTTTACGGCATCAGTACTGTAGCAAATCTTAAAGAAATTTCTTAGTTCGGCCAAATTTATGGAGATTTACTCCAATCAACCTTCATAGTTATCGAAGTAAAATTTACCTGTGAAACATCTGGATCCTTGCAGTTGAAGATGCACTGACTTGCAGCATTATTTTTGACTATTTGATTACTTGTTAAAGTATTCTTATCATATATCACTCTTGATTGACCCGTTGCACAATTACCGCAATCTGTTTGAATAAAAAGTGTTCAATAACATATATTCAATTTCAAAATTATATGTATTATATGGTAACTAGAGATTAATATTTACAAAAATCCTGGATCTGGATTTAAGTTACTAACATGGACATAATTCTTGATCTGGATCCAGGAAAAATCCCCGACTGTATCCAGATCCAGACAGATCTCTATTTGTAACCAGATATATTGTTTTATTTTATCTCATTATATTTATTTGAATAAAGTTATGGCATAAATAACGTGCCCAATAACATTTGGGTCACCTTTATAAATATTATTTGAAAGAAATTGTTATATCACCCTTTTTATAAGAAAAGGCTACTAACTTAACGGCGCAAGTGTTGTTGTAGGTAGGGTAGTAGTTGTTGTTTGTAACTTTGTTGTGGTTGTTGGAAGGGTAGTAGTAGTTGTTGGTAAGGTTGTCGTGGTTGTTGGAAGGGTGGTAGTGGTAGTTGGTAAGGTTGTTGTGGTTGTTGGAAGGGTGGTAGTGGTTGTTGGTAGGGTTGTTGTGGTAGTTGGAAGGGTGGTGGTTGTTGTTGGCAAAGTGGTTGTGGTTGTTGGAAGGGTAGTAGTAGTTGTTGGCAAGGTCGTTGTGGTAGTTGGAAGGGTGGTGGTTGTTGTTGGCAAGGTCGTTGTGGTAGTTGGCAAGGTTGTTGTGGTTGTTGGACATTGAGACGGCTTTCTAGTACCCGAACATTTGATTGGGGTGCAAGTCTCGCCTGCTTGAAGACATCGAATACTCGCAGCCTAAAAAATATTCAATAGATTCTATAACATATCAACTGACCTTGATGTAGTAGTCTGCTGAGCTTCCCAATGGTTTGAACATATTTCTATTAGTATTGGGAATTGGAGTCAATTCATCGGCAAGCGTAATTGTTCTTCCACATTCGCTCACGAAGGTTTGAGTAAACGGGGCAGCGTTTTGTAATCGTGCATACATATGACATGTTGGATCGCAGAAAGAATTAATCACAACTAGAGAATAAGCATTTATTACTTTCCAACAAATATCATCTTCGTCGCAAATACAGAAGTCTTGCATATTTGAACATTTCATAATAACTGAAGAATTACTTGCACTTGAACCAGTTGTAACGGTTGTAACAGGGATGAAAAAGACATTACTGTTGCCAGGATCAGCTGGACATAGGCACACTCCTTCAATTGCGCTGGAACCTGTTTGTATTTTAGAATCAGAAGTGTTGTAACTCAGCAATGCTGTGACTGGTGGTTGAGCGCAATTAAAGGTCGTCGTGGTAGAGGGTTCAGTTGTGGTTGTAGTTGGCTGGGTGGTGGTTGTTGTAGTAGAGGGTTCAGTTGTGGTTGTTGTTGGTTGGGTTGTAGTTGTGGTTGGCTGGGTAGTGGTTGTTGTTGATGGTTCGGTTGTTGTAGTAGTAGGCAGAGTTGTTGTGGTTGTTGGTAAAGTAGTTGTCGTTGTTGGTAAGGTAGTTGTAGTAGTTGGTAAGGTTGTTGTTGTAGTTGGCTGCGTGGTAGTTGTAGTCAACTGTGTGGTAGTTGTTGATGCAACTCCACATGCGTTCGAACAGTTCTTTTTACAAATTACACCACCCAATTTGTTAAAGCATGCTATGTCATTCCACTGTCCTGTTGTTGCGCTGTACATGGCAGCACAGGCTTCTTGTTGACCAGCTTTAAAACGAAGACATTTTTATTGAAGTTTTTTGAATACAGGATTATTGGAAAATAATTTGACAACTGAGACAACTGGACAGAATCTTGTCCAGAATCTTCGAATTAATAAGATGTTCGAGTCATTCGACTCCTCACAATTTCCCCCGGGAAATATTCGTTCCTTACCCAGAAATTCCTCCCCGGGAAATATTCGTTCCTTACCCAGAAATTACTTGAGAGTTTATTCTAGTATATTTTAGGGGTCTAGGTAAATAGCATCAAACTCTTAGATTTATTTTATTAAATTTTAAGGTGTATTGTTTACTTACATGCTGTTCCCGTTTCTGTTCCTGATGGACCTCCAGTGATGTTAAGATAATTACAACTTGTTCCATCCGAATTAACGCAATCGACCGTAGCATTATAAGTAGGATAAAATGCACAACGGTGCAAGCCTAACCAGAGTGAACGCCACTGAATGTCTTGAGTAGTAGTAGAAACTCTACTAGCACAAACAGTTGTGTTTGTTTGACACGCATTTATATATGGGCCGGCTAATTGACGAATAAATTCGTTTTCAGCTGAGCTATGAACAGATACGACTTCAGCTCCGAGCGCAAGACATTGTGCATTTGCCTTTAGAATAAAAAGTTATTATCATGAGAGCGCGAGTATTTCTCAACCTCATAAAAATTAAGCCAATCCTTCATTACAACTTGATACCCATACGTGTTTCCATCCTCTCCTGTTCTTTTAGTCCAATTGCCCGATGTACAGCTTGCTTAAACAATGAACAATTTATTTCGAGTTACATAGATCTATTAAATTGTGAAAACTTACTGTCCGTAATGTCAGAAGGGCTAGTAATTAAAGCATTCTTGATAGATGAACTTCCACAAGTTCCTGTACAATTTCTTTTACAGACGACTCCACCCAATTTTTGAAAGCATGATAGATCGTTCCACTCCCCGGTTGTGGCATTATACATTGAAACGCAGTCCTCAATGAGACCAGCTTTAAAGTTAAAAATATAATCATCGTTAGGAATTCAAATATATTAGTTGTACTATTATTGGTTATAGGATCGCGAGCTAGCAACGGGACTGGCTCCAGCTGAAGCTCTAACCTGATTTTCCTTTAAATTACTGATATCCCTTTTAATCCAGGCAAATCTCCTCGGCCGAGCTCCGCAAAATACCCAATAACAGCACTGGTTGGCACCTAGGTTGGCACCTAGGTGCTGGTTGGTTGGCACCTAGGTACCTGGTTGGTACTAGGTACATCACCTACCTGGTTGGCACCTAGGTCTTATTCTTAAATAAAAATTTACCTCCGCCTCCGCTGTCAGATCCTGAAGGATTTCCCCAAGCCCATGGGAAAGGAGAAGGTCCAGTAAGAATTACGGCATTTGTAGCTCCATAATCGCATGGCGTTCCATCCGAATTGACACAATCAACAGTAGCATTGTAACTTGGAAAATATTGACACCGGTGCATTCCTAACCAAACTACACTTAAAACAGTATCAAGACTTGTAGTAGCTCTAGCACCACATGTTGTTTTATTTGTTTGGCACCCGATAATATAAGGTGCTGCCAATTTTCGGACAAACTCGTTTTCAGTACCACTGTGGATAGATGCCACATCACCTCCAACTCCGAGACATAGAGCACGGGCCTTTAAATTTAACATAAAGTTAAATTAATAAAAAGCTGCTTTACTATTCGGATTCCTATTCTTTAAAATTTTCCCTGAACTCTTAAAATAATTTTACTGCTTTCGAAGTTTAAAATAAGGCTACGAATTTCCTAATAAGCATTTTCTCCACCTTTTCTAGGACTAAATTATTTTTACCTCATAAAAATTAAGCCAATCCCTCGCAAGTACTTGATAGCCATAAGTATTTCCATCTGTATCAACACGCGTTGTCCAGTTCCCTGAGAGACAATCAGCGTTGACAGCTGTCGGAATAATACAGAAAGCGATAATTAATCCAATAAGGGTCATTTTTTACTTAACCCTTAATATTTTTAAATTATTTATTTTTATATGTATGTATATCAATGAATAAAAATGACATTTTGGGCTTGAAGTCATATCTTAACCCAACCACCATATTGGAAATCACATAATGGGTGAAATCTTTTTAGTCCTGACTGTTCAAATCACAATCGAGTCAAAGAGGGAATGCCCTACATATTCTTTTGGAACATTTCGAGGCTTTTGGCAACCCTAATTTGTATTAAAAACGTAAAATATGAACTATAAATTCGATGTAATCGTTTACAGTTGAGGACACAGCTATAGTGACACCTATATATAACAGCTATAGTGACACCTATCGAGAAACTAAAAATTGAACGTCAAAGGGGGGAGGGGGCGGAAGTGAGGGTGGGTGGGTGTCAGTTAAATCAACAAAAAGTATATCTTAAGCTGATTTGACATGCTGTGAAATTGTATGTAGATAGATAAGTTTTTATCAATGAGTTTCTCAATGCTTCACCTCAACGAGTTTAAATAAGCAGACTTTTAGCCCATATTTTATTATCAAATTTCACATAAAATTTAAAACCTCAAAAAATTTTACATCCTCAAATAGTACATTTCTTTTGTTAAAAAAATTTTTTTAATATTAAAATTTTATTTATTACCTCAAAAGTCTTTTAAATGTTTCATGTTCTTTTGTTAAAAACCCAGACATATTTATAACTCAAAATTGAACTTAAAAGCCATTATTTTATTTTTGATGGTTAAACTTAACTTTATGGTTTTTTTTTTAATTTTTATTAATTCTTTAAAATCAAAGAAGAAATTAAATTTTTATTGATGTACATTTTAAAATTTATTTTTTAAAAAATTAAAAAATTATTTTTAAAAAATTTGATGCACTATAATTATAAAATTATAATTATTAAAAAGATAAAAATGGGGAATACGATCTCATTGTTTTTATAAAAATTTTACTCTAAAATTCATTTCCGACTCCGAATAACTGTAGAAAACTCGACTTCCTCCCAACTACATATAAGTAATTTCCCGAAAAGCAAGGGATTTTGCGGCTTTATCTGGAAGAAAGTACCTTTCCTAAAATTTAAATACATTCAGAAAACAATTAGACACAGATAATTTGGACACCTAAATTTCTGTTTACCCTACTTCCACTTCTAGTGCTCACTTTGGTATTTTATAAATATTTTTTAACGTGAGATAAATGTTCGTCTTGTGGCGTAACTCGTTGAAGCTTGAGTTGATGTTGCTAAAAAGGATAAGGAATAGGAACTATGACAGACTATTGGGTAAATTTTTAATAATATCAAATTTTCACATAAAATTTAAAACCCACAAAATTTTACATCCTCAAATAGTACATTCCTTTTGTTAAAAAACTTTTTTTTATTATTAAAATTTTATTTATTACCTCAAAAGTCTTTTAAATGTTTCATGTTCTTTTGTTAAAAACCCAGACATATTTATAACTCAAAATTGAAATTAAAAGCCATTATTTATTTTTGATGTTTAACTTTATGGTTTTTTAGAATTTTTATTAACTTTTTAAAATGAAGGAAGAAAATTTTATTTTTATTAATGTACTTTTTAAAAAATTATTTTGACTTTAGAGGTATTAAAGGGAATATCAAGGGATTAGGCCGTGATATCCGGGATAAGGAGATTCTCGGGATTTTTCGATTCCCGAATTCGGGAATTTGTTTTTTTATGTCGGCAAGACCCTGAAATATTTTATGTTCTAAAAATCAGACGTTTATGATTGTTTCAGTTCCCAGATGTTCTAATTAGACGATTCCTGCAACTGCAGTCTAAATATTTCAAAAATACAAAAAGACATAATAGTTATTTTAGTAATTTAAATTACAATTGGATTAAAATACAACTAACATTCGGTTCCAAATCATAACCAGTCCTTAAAATATATCTTCATAAATAAAGAATATTTTATAAAGAAATAAATAAAGAAATAAGAAGGACAGACGGCGCCGGTCGACCCAGGTGTGACCCAGACTTTTCAAATCTCGAATTGGTCCGACTAAAATTGACTAAGGTTTGCTAGGCCTTGTCGAATAGATGAATTCGATCGGCTTGAATGCCTGCCACACTTCAATTGACACCGTCTCCTCTGAATAAGAATCTGATGTGCTCTGCGAATCTCCGAATTGTCCGAATACTTCCCCCGAATTTGAATAAACCGAATAGTCCGAATTGTGAATCGAAGGATTCACTACTGCGACCGCGCCACTGTTATGTCCTAGGTTAGCGGTCTTACCTAGTGACAAACAGAATAACACAGGAATAGAATATAACGTTTATCCGAATGGTAAATACAATAATAGTGAAGGTGGCAAAAGGCAAGAATGAAGAAGGACAGACGGCGCCGGTCGACCCAGGTGTCGACCCAGACTGATCGCTAACGACTCCTTTTATACTAGACCCACACATACCTAACAGGCATAGTAAATGTTTTTGTGTTTTACCCCCAAAAAACATTTTAAAAAATTTTAATTTAAATTTTAAAACATTTATTGAGTTGGATATTTACTTAATCAATTATAGCACTTTAATATTCTTGAGTGACAGGCAAAAAAAATCGACAAAAAAATTTTTTATCGTTTTCTCTGCTTTCATGTATAATTTTTTTAATTAAAATTAATTTTACATTTAACAAGCTTAAGCTCCCAGAATTAAAATATTGAAAAAACTAATTGTTAGCATGAGCTTTTAAAACGTCTATAAGAAAAAAACATAAAAGTTGTACCCATGGTATCTGAGTAGTAGAGCAACTCAAAACATTTAAGCGATACTCAACGAGCATTCTTAGTGTTGTCGCAAGTTCAATCCCTGCCCGGCTTCTAAACTTTTATTAACTCCTTACTTAATTTTAATCTTTGAACTCTTGCCAATTCCATCGGCCTTTTTTAAATGGCATTAGTGGGCGTCATTGCCCTCTAAGTCTTGGGGAGGCGCGCAATTCCTCCCCTCCCCTCTCCCCTCTTACTCTTAAGCAATCAGTCATTCCCATTTATTATTTTTTATTTTTAAAAATCTAACTTGACAAGCAGTAAAATTTAATGAGAAAAGGGCCTCAACAAAAATTAAATCAGAAAAACAATTAACAAATTTGTTAATTAGCAAGGATTTAATTACCGTATTTACTCGATTAATTCCCCTCTTTCGAATAATTCCCCATGCTACGTATGAGCTGAAACAATAATCCCCCTCCACAAATATTCTGCTACACGTTCAAATTTCTAAACTCGATTAATTCCCCTCTTTCGAATAATTCCCCATGCCACGGATGGCTTTCACATAATCTCTCAAATAATTATACCCTCTAAAATGATTACCCCCTCAGAAGACGATTTTTAAAATAATTTAGGGCTCTTGTCCAGTTTATGCGTCCCATGAAAGTATATGCGTCCCATCAACAAAACATTGGATATTTCTTGGTGTTGCAAAGTAGGGGTATGGTTCAAAGCATTTCTTCATGTTCGGGATCTACGTCCACTGGGTCTGGGACCGTTCCTTACCCTATCCTTCGAAATTTCTGAAAGTTATAGCCAATTTTTAAAAATTTCAGAAAAACGATTTTAACTTTCAGAAATTTCGAGGTATAGGGTAAGGAACGGTCCCAGACCCAGTGGACGTAGATCCCGAACATGAAGAAATGCTTTGGAACCATACCCCTACTTTGCAACACCAAGAAATATCCAATTTTTTGTTGATGGGACGCATATACTTTCATGGGACGCATAAACTGGACAAGAGCCTAATTTAGATAAAAATGTCTACGGGTATTTGGATACTCGTAATATTTTTGTCTGACATTCTTTTGAAATGTGGTGTTGATTCTATGAAGGACTTGCCTGAACAAAGCTGTTCTACAAGTGTTGTTGGACAATCTAGCAACAATCTTCAAGTGGGAAATGAAGTGCCTGGAGGCAAGAAGAAAATTTTGCTTTTAGCCGATGCTTTTTTGGATCATTACACGTTTGCGGTAAAATTTTCTATTTTATACTTGTTTGTTTAAAATCCTTTTGCAAACAATGACATTCACAACCAAAAGGGAACGGGGTAATATACCTAAATCGAAGGGATTGCTTTAAATCGAACTGCCAAATAACCAACCAACAGTAAACTACATTTTAAATTGGGGAGCCCTCTCTCTGGAGCTGAGAGAGAGGGCTCGAAAGAGACTATAACCCTCTCTCTCTCCAGCCCTCTCTCCAGAGCTGAGAGAGAGGGCTCGAGAGAGACTACAACCCTCTCTCTCTCCAGCCCTCTCTCCGGAGCCCTCTCTCCGGAGCCCTCTCTCCGGAGCCCTCTCTCTCGCCCTCTCTCGACTATAAGCATTCGCAAAGGGCAAATAGACTTTTATTTATACACGTGTTAATCATGTGAATTATTAAAATTCAAAGGAAAATTGCCGAATTGTTGCACTCTTGATTTCGCAATAGTGTTTACAAAAAGAAATATAAAAATATCCAAAGCTTTTATTATTTATTAAAAAACAAAAACATCCAACAAAGGAGGAAAAGTCTATTGTTCCATTGTTTAATTTTTAAAAGTTACATACAAAAATGAGGTTCCGTAAAAGCTATATACATACATATGTAGGATAGCCCATGATTAAGTGCTCTCCCATTTATAGTAGAATGTTCTTAAAGTTGGCCGGTTATTGGTGTTATATTACCCTTTATATAGGCGACTATTTTTCAGTCCCAAATCACTATCTAAAAAGGAGCTTAGCTTTATATATTTAAATAATTATTTCAGTTAAACTTGGCCAATGTACTCAACTCTCAGAGCGTATATGAAATTGTTTGTTTTAATTAATGAATTTTAAAAGAATTTATATAAAATTCAATTTTTTAGTATTTTATTGCTGTCAACTATAAAATAAATAATACTATGCGGAAAGTATTGGATAAACCTAAGGAAGGTGTTCATTTTGTTGAGATAATTTCAGAGGAAGAAAATGCCCCAACGATAAAAACGGA